ACACTCCTGCGCCTCACCCACTTTTTCTCGCTCCACCTGTCCGGCCTCAAGCTCCTGCTCGTCTGGAAGCCGGACTATCCAACCTCGCGTGAACAGACGCTCCATGAATGCAACAATCTTGCTTGCTTTCCCTGGCTCCGACCAATTCCTGTCCATTTCACTCGCTCTCTCGCCGCAAGTCCCATCTTCCTGGCACTCTCTCGTCTTGTCCAGCCTAAGCCAGGCGTACCGGTCGTCCAAGCGATCACCGTCGTGTTGGCCTCCATCGGGGCCGCCATTGGTCGGCTGGGACCCAGCATCCGAAGTGACCGGCCGGGACGCCAGTAGCAACTTTTGCCGACGCCTCAGCTCGGCTTGAGCACGAATGTTCTGTTTGTGCAGACTGCACCAAATCAACAGTCCGGCCGTGAGGATGAGCAATGAGAGGACAAGGATGCTGGTGATGAGGCCGATGAGTTGAGAGGTGATCAAACCACGTCGGTAGGTCAGCAACTCGGAGTTGCGCATCTCCAGCGCGGCCAGCAGAAAGGCCAGATGAGCCTGACCGACTGTAGGTCGGCCGAAATGGAGAATAAAATGAACGTATAGGCAAGCAATTTATGAGGAGGCACTTGGAACGGCGACAAGAGAGCAAAATTGACGAACAACAAAACGGTCAAAGCAGAAGTCGTCCTAGTCGATCTTTATGGGCAGATACAATATCGTGATGAACCGCTCAATCTTTGTATGGAATAAACACAATTTCCTAGTAGATACGAAAAGTGATTGGATTTCGATGAGTATTGTTGGGTATGAAGAATTGTCTTGAATGTCTCTGAAAACGACGGCTGATTCACTTTTTACTGCAGCCGTTTGGCTTGAATTCAACCTTCCGATTGATGCAGACCAAGAGACATCCTCCTGGGCTGAGCTTGCAACCATCATCAGAACTGGACCTCATTCTTGGCAAAGTCTCAAGCCAGCACCAGATCAAGAAGCCTATTTGGCTGTGTTTTACTTCTTACCCATATTCATAACAAAATGTGAAATTTTACAGACCTAAATAGATACAGAATTCTTTTGCCAATTTCATTTCCCGTTGATAATGCTACTTTTTATACGAAGAAAAGTTGAGTTTTGAGGAATCGCTTGTTTTACAATTGTTGAGCTTACTTCCATTTCAAGTGAAAGTGTTGCGTGAAGAGATTCAAAGGTCGGTTCCACCAGGAGACAAAGGCCGATTCCTCTTTACCAGCTGTCGATTGGCTTTACTGCAACATTCATGCTGACGCTGTTTCCGAGGCAATCTCCTTCGATTCCGGTGAAAAGTTGCTAAGCTTTCGTGCGTCATATGATGTAAGTAATCAGAGCGAGGTACCATGGGCACGACACAATTGAAGCTAACAAGTCAAGAAAACTCACCATACAATCCCTAAAAAGTGGTATATACACTCTAAGTCTGACCTTTTTGATCAAGTATAACGTGATTTGGTTAGTTAAGATCATATGTCAGCCTATTTCGTTTAAGATGATGCAGGAATTGTAGATGAATTTTCCCACAATCCTATGAATAGGCCGAGGTTTACATTAAATTTCCCATCACCTTGCTTCTTCCTACAAGCTATTCTCATTCAGAATGCAGTGCATTTTGACCTCACTCGTGGGTCTCATCAGCACTCCCGGTGGGACTCGAACACGGATTATAGTAGTACAGCATATAAGCTGGGCTCGTCAATCATCCGGCCACACTGCCACAAGTGGTCTCCTTTCACAAGGACAAGATGTGTCCAACTAAGTCCCCCTGGCAGTAAGACCAAGGGCCACACCATCTTGGTCTTCATATCTTCGATTTATTAGATTTACCTTTGCATCAAATTCCATCATTTACCTCGAAAAGACGTTATTAGCGAAGTTCAACTCGGTCAAATCATAACCTCACATACATCCAAGTTGACATATGACCTTGACTAACAAATCACATCATACTGGAGGCCAGATGTAGAGTAGATATACCACTTTTTAGGGATTTGCCGGTGAGTTTTCTTGACTCGTTAGCT